TACATCACTGGCTGATGAACAACTCATGGTACACACTACAACATGCTTTGTAATCTTAACTCGGTCAATATACAGCAAAACCAGTATGTAGATTTAAGGTACATGTAGTTACAGTTGACCACACGGCGAACAGAATTACAAACAGAGAGAGTAATAAATTGATAAAGTTTGTGAGTTGCAAAAATGGAGGCCTACCTTGTCCATTTCAGTTGCTATATAAGGATGCGTTCCTGCCGGGAAATCCAGCCTGTGAACAAAGGAATTTGGGGTATCTTAGATGTATGTAAATCTCTGACAGAAAGTAGCAAAAAAGGCTGCCCTATACAGCTGGCTACACGGACCAATGTAAAAACAACCCACGCATGGGCTAAAAAAAAAAAGAAGCTAAATCAAGCAGGTTTAGAGGGGCAGAATTCCCAGTCAATGCAAAGATACATTTTCACTCGGGTGAGGCTTTCATAAAATAAGCCTAAAGATGGTATCTTTTCGTCTCTACACAAACCATCTGTGCACAACCATTCTTATATGCAGTGGCTCTTTATGAAGTGATGAAAAAGCACACCCATGAGAACCAGTTTCTAAAATAAAAGTCATTACTTCTTAATTGGTTCCCACCCTTACTTCTACACCGGTCCCTCTCTGACCTTTTAGCAACAGGGGCGTCTGGACGTCATTTGGACACCCTGTGGGCCATTTTGGATGCAATGTGAAAACATTTGAACTCCCAAAATAGCACCTTGGATGCACATTTTCAATTCATGACTAAGTTAGGCAACCCTCCTTTCACAGTCTACACAATGCTGTGCTGACTGGGCAATTATAATTCATCCATTCTTACCATCAAGACCAAGAACGACCAACAACAGATGAAAAAAAGGAAAGAAATTGAACACAGGAGGCGATGCACTTGCCTTATTCTGTCTGATGTACCATCTTTATACCTAAGCAAAGCTATTGCACTGTACGTGGCATCAACAGCCTGAAAAGTAAAACATTAAGAGTGCTCTGGTGACAGTGTTCAACGAAGGCCTTCCTAACCTTAAAAACTCATGTATTTTGGCTGGAACCTTCCTTAATCTTTCAATATCCCCAACTGGGCAGCAGAGTTGTAGGCGAATCCATCACAAGTCCCCTGAAAGTTGATCACGAGTATAACTCAACTCAAGCCAAATCACAAACTATTCGAATGAGCTATGAATGGGCTTGACTGCAACACTGCCGGAGAGAGATGGGGACTGGTGCATTAGTTGTCCTGTGACATTATGGAGGCAACCCGCCGTTTGTAACACAGGACCATATCTGAATAATTCAGCTGTGAGCAGCAATAATGAATGAACATATGAGCCATTTGGAAGCCACTAGCTAATGGGTAGCGGATACGTCCTTCCTCCATAGACACCTGTGTTATTCAGAGTAGTAGCCAAGTACTTTATGTGCATTTTACAGGCTGAGATGCAGCTTCCCAAAGTTTGCCAGATTCTCCTCAAACTCCTTGCGGGATTTTGAAGGCTCTAGGAATGCGATGGGCAAATATGCCCTTAGTTAATGTTTATCAGCAGGAATCGTTGCAACAGCATCTACATTTGTACGTATGTAAGAACAATTACATGTACTCACCACTTGTTTGTCTTTTGTCAGCTTTGATGCTGCACTTTTTGCATGAAAATAAATACCATCTATACTTTTTTCTGGATTAATCTGGGGGGAAAATAACATTGAGAATTGTGTAAGCACAGGTTTTGTTATCAGCAAGTTATACTGGAAATCTTTCAATACAAAAGTTTATTTGTATCTTTCACTTGTAGGAATTATGTTATAAAACAAATACATAATGGGTCTTTCAGAGTAAATACTTGAAAATGTTTCTGAATCCAATACGAGACCAAAGTCAGAGACAAAGCTAAGATTTGAAAAATAATCCATTAGGCAAGTTTTAAGCAAAGTATGGTCAGGCTGCATGTTCTTATTTCCTCGTAGATACAGTAATAAGAAGGCCATGGGGGCACTTTAATAATCAGCTTTGGTAAAGATCACAGTTTCCAATTTGTTTTGCTTTGCATTCATGGGAGAATCTGTATTTTTTACTCACAGGTAAAAACTGATATACGGCTCTGATGCTGTCCGGTTTGCATTTCACGCTCAGAACCTGTAAGTCATGATGAAATACAATTACCATTGAGAGAAAAAAAAACCTTCTCTTGGGACTCTATCCAATGGGTCATTGAAGAAACTTCCCGTAGTCGGAAATATCACTGCATGTAATTAAAACGGGTCTTTCTAATTGGTTCTGTGATTTCAGCGTTCAGGTCGTCCTCCCTCCGAGGCCCTTCCTTCGAAAGTCTGAAACATACACAGTCAATGTACAAGCTACAATTCACCTCCTTTCACCGCCCCCTTGGAAAATATGTACACCTCCCCTCCCCGGTGCCCCCTAGGAAATGTCACAGGTCCCATTTCACACGCTACCATCTTTCCTTTAGTCCTCAGCCATGCAATCTTTGAGAAGTGTTCCTGTTCGTACATAAGAAGCATTTTAAAAATTTTTTCAAATTGTGGTCAGTAAGTGTCACTGTCACAACGACCTGGCGCTTCTTGTAAGTTGCATCCAGACTTTTAGCCTCTATGAGAATCGAATGCAGCCTTCGGGCTAACATTTGACAAAACTAGAATCAAACATGTGCGCAGACAGCAGTCAGATGTCACAACCGTTCAACGGGCAAACAAATACTTGCTTTTGTATGGATTTTTAATAACCATTTTCTTGACTGCTCTTCTTCATTTTGAGACACATAACCCCGACCCCCAAATCACCTCTACTTTTATTCAATGAGGGGAAACATCGTGTCGACTTCTGCAAATCCGCACATCTCTGGACCCTGCCATGAATCCCTTTTGTTCTCAAATCCGCACAAGGTACGTCAAACTCATACACATCACTGTTGGCATATTTTTTCTGTTCATCCAAAATCCAACATTCAGCACCAATTACAGGATGAAAATGAGAGGCAATGAAGAAGTCAATGAGGAAATGTTCAGTTTAAGAGGTTGGAGGAAACCTCCAGATAAATACACCTGGGAAAACCCACGGAATCAGGCAGGGACCGAAAACCCAGCCCACATGCCAACCTACATATGTACATGTAGCAGGGATTCGAACCCTAGCCGCAGAGATGGAAGGCAAGGAAAGAGCCACGACGCCAACCCGACTCCCCAAACTGACTCTAACACCTGACTCTACTTATTTACTAGATCATAGAAGACAAGGCACTGTGTTACAAATGTTTCTGTAGCACCCTCACACAGACTAGGCACAGGAACTAGACACAGTGGACAGAACTGGATAAAGGACTGGCCCCCCCTTCCATGAACAAGAAAAATTTCTTTTGTTCCACGTGTCTGTCCTCTCTGATAATGGCAGAAAATGTCAAAAAGTGCCTACATGACTTCAATCATCTCAGCATACTATTGCCCTCCTACCTATTTAATTTCTTTGGGGTAAATTAAGAGGGACTATCTTCTTCTTCAACCTCAACCCCAGTCTGCTTAGGAAACATTTCCACCTTTACAATTGGGTCACCCACCTTCCCGCAGGTTCCTGGCTGGTCAGGCAGGCTGCAGTCGATCTCTGGGTTCCACCGAACCTGGGGCATCCACCAACCAGCCAGCTCGACCGTCGACGAGTCAATAATGTGGGAAGAGATGAGATTATTGAAAGGGCGGCCATGAAACTCCTCCCCTCGAAGGATGCCCTCCTGAAGAAGCAGAACGTCGTCAACCCCATCGGCAACTGGGAAGTCTAAGTCAAGCTCCCTGCCCAAAGAGGAGAGATTCTTGTACAAATTCAAATGTGCATGTACGTACATTGTACATGTAGACTAATGCCTACGTGTACAGCATAAACATAAGCAGATCAAAGCGCGAGATAAAATGACACTCCCAAGAAACTCCTGTGATGGTAGAAACAGAAAATGACACAGAACTTGTAAGTGAAAGTGTGACAATGTGAGCGGTGACTGAAGGAACAAACATCTTAGCAGTACACTACCGCTATGCCCAGAATTTACTTGGTTATGGCCGATTCTTGATGCCACTTGCGGAAGCCATACACCAGCGCTGGAGGCACTTTTCTGCATCAATGTGTGCTACTGCTGGTGGTAGCCTAATAAATCAGACATGGCTTACTGCACAACCTGCACGAACAACGAGTTAGGTGCTCACTGATTCACTAGGAACACAATCTTGAACATTTGTACAGTAGCTACTCTCCATAAAGACAGGTACAATCACGGCAGCAAAATCCTCCAAATTTCTCAGAAAGGAACGGTAGCTAAAACGTGTCACCCAGCAGCAAATGCTTTGGTCTGGGATGTTTTCAAATGGGACAAAAGTTAACAGATCTTGAAATTAATTTGGCTGACATCCAACCATTTTTTACAACACACTAAGTGTAAGGCCCAGGGAAAGGAGGCAGTCAAGCATCACAGACTAAGCCCCATAATTAGGTCGGAGACCCAAACCACAAGCTAGTGAGGACGCCAGACTATGCATACGCCGCTCATTTGTGCAACAATGAGGTAATTTTTGAACTATTTTTAGATCACGATTCGCAGATAACATCGATCTCTTTATCGGCCAGAAACTTCAAAACAAATTCCTCTGATCAATCAATTTTACAGGAAACATGCTACCCAAGATCTAAATGAAACTTTCCTTTCATTTGGTATCTATAAAAGCGGATCGAGGAGATTTTTCGGTAAAATCTTGCACTGGATGTGTCGAATTCGGCGGGCAGGTGAGTCCAACTCTGCCGATGAAAACATTTACGCGAAAAACATGAAACTTTGCCGAAGTTTGTGCATGAAAATGTTGCCATTATAAATCTCCATTGATTCAACGCGGCAGATGTTGTGTTTACGGTGGCGATTTTCCAAAATAGAGATCGAAAACAAGTTTGCCATAGACTCCAACGGTAACGGCAAAGGTGGCCATGTTGAGTGCCGGCATTTCAAATCTCCTTTTTTCCCCAAAATCGCACAGGAAAATTACAGCATTATCACATGACCTGATGAAAATGATGTCATTGCCACTTGAACTAGCGACATAAGCTGAAACTAGGGACGTCGCTAGATTGTGGTTTGGTCCCTGACCTGATAATGGGGCTAGTCTACAGGTAGGTTGTAAGTAATGACAATAAAGGCAAAGGCTTAGTGGCTTGTGCCCTACAAAAAGCTAAGCCTCGGCTAACCTAGTGGACGTCATCTACATGTACATTGCATTGCCACTAACATCCAGGGTATGAAGTCCTCCTGCCAAAGCGAAATTTTTTTTCAACAGTTTTTTCTCACATTTTTACCTGGCGGAGGTAGCTCAAATGTCATTCACAAGTGTGTTGAAATTACTAAATCCACCCGTGGACGACGTAATTCACAGGAATTGAGCTCAACTCCACACTTTCTGTCGTGAACGATCTATGTTCGTCTGGTATCTAGCACTATGCATTTGCACACGCGCGAAATACATAGCAACTGACAACCCTTACGCATGCAAGGAAGAGCTGTGGGCGTACAGATAAGGCCATGTCCTAAGCGGGCTTCCTGAGCTTCGGCTAGGTCTGTTGTCGGCGCAGCTCTATGCATTTCCTTTTGTTTTCCTGACCCAGTCTAAATAAAAGCCGAGCTGTGACATTGGAATGGTCATTGGAATGGAAGCAAATCGGACCAATCACAGTGTGGCTTTCATCCATGGGAGACAGGATAACAAAAGGAAAGGTTGGCAATTGGTCAAGCTATCACACAACTGACAGTTACTGAGAGTCTAGTGCTGCTGGGTTTCTGTAGAGTGAATATGGTGGATGGGCAAAGTGCTGAAGAATTTCACCATTTTAATGAGGATATTATAAGGTGAACAAACCTCCCCATCTGACATCTAATTTCACCAAGAAGGCATGTATGAAATTTGGTTGCACAAATAGGTGTGATGGAAGAGTAAGTGGGTACAATCAAACCAGCCAAAATGTTTACGGGATCTTGGACTAAGTAACCATGATAACATCGTATGCCTAACCAGCAATGACCGTACCCGACGCTAACTACTGCCTACCTATCTCCCACTCTTTCGTTGTCATCCAAATACAGGATAAAGCTGATATACGTCACCATAAGCGAAAGCAATGAGAAGATGACAAATATCCAAACAAAAAAAGCGATGTTAAACAGACACAGCCGGTGAATGCAGCGATTTATTTTCCTTTTCAGCAACACGCACACTGCCATTTTTTCACATGTCTCCTTGTTTCTGAAACGTGTTAGCGCCCTCTATTGATGTAACAACACAAAATAGATTTTGTGTAAAAGGCGGCTAACTCATTAAATGCTTCCTCAGGGAATTTTTAACTAGACTGTTTTATTTTAACTAGGAATTTAATATTTTAGCAAAATGGAGACACATTAATCATAATGATAAAATATATTGGCATTTAAATATCTTTAAAATTTTTGTTCCGTTTTATCTTCACACTAATATGACTAATGTTTTTAGGTGTGAACCTATCCTTTTTAATATTTAATTTATCCTTTTTAATATTAGTCTTTTAAAATTACCCTTATCTTGCAAGTTTGTAAGTATGGTTTTCTGTTTATAAAGTCTGTATCATGCCCTGAAGTATGTCTCTCATTCTGATCTCTTATATATTTTAAATAGTCAAACGTAAGACTACGTTTTTTACTGATCCACATCCAGATGTGGGGCAGCAGGTCTACGGATCACACTCAGTAATTTTATTGTTTTTGCTGCCCGTGGCCCATCTGGGAATACTGATCTGTTTTGTACTGTTCCTTCCATGACTGTACAATTGCTCTGTGTTGTCTGGTATTTTCTGTCGTTTTGGCCAAATAAATGATAATGTTAATAATAATTTTATAGAACAAGAATAAACACTGTTGGGTTGAGGTACCATTTTCAGTTCCCATAGAGCCCAAATTCTCGGACCTGAAACGTCTCTTGGATCCGAAATAGAAAATAAGCCGATGTTTCAAAATACCAAGCGCTGGGCACACGTACCGTACCGTACCATATCGAGCAGCAAAGCAACATTGAGGGCAGTGTTTCAAAATGGCAGACAGAAAGTCAGCGTTCAAGTCGAGTATTCTTACTAAAAACCTCACAAGAACGAAGGAAAAGGTAAGTTTAAACAAGTGTGTTTCATACTTATCGCTTGAATTTTTTTCCATATCGATGACGAGGCTCTTTTTCAACTGTTACTTTGTGTGACACCTATTTAAAAAGGAAATAGTTCTTCCGACTTCCATGACCTGATGACCATGGCCGACACAGATTTATGCCGCGCCGACTTGCATGACTTGCTCAAAACTTTTTGACAATGCGGATTTATAACGTTACTTGTTAGTCCTATGAACCCTGAATATCCTTCCTTGTCTTTTTCGTAGTTTTGGTTGGAAAGAGTTTAATGATTGAAAATTGATGGACTTCACCTGAAAAACATGTCAAACCCAGTATGCAATGTTATGAGCAGACCCAATACTGGGTCGTCCGAAAGATTGTAGGTCAACTCGCCCCCTGGCCGACTCGCCCCTTACCAGCTCGCCCCTTACCAACTTGCCCCCTGACCAACTCGCCCCCTAGCCGACTCGCCCCTTACCAACTTGCCCCCTAGCCAACTCGCCCCCTGACCGGCTCG